TTCCGCCGAAGCGTATGGAAAGAAATCGCCCCGCCTCCTTGGGATGTTGTTGAGTTTGTTGAACGCTTCGTTCACCGCTTTCGTGTAGCACGTCGGTGTTGAGTAGAGCAGATGGATGCGACTGCCGTTGGCCTGTCGTGCGTTCACGTGTTTTATCAACAAATCGGTGTTCTTGAAGTTCACGTTGGCGTTCTGGTAGGTGAAGTCGCAGCCCATCGGCACGATGATGTGGTTGGTGCGGAAGGCCGACGAGACTTGGTTCACGTGGGCCACGAAGGCGTCGACTCGCTCGTCGACGTTGTACTCGGCGCTGTCAACGTCGTCCTGAATCGGCTCGTCCTGGCACTGGTCGTCGAAGCAGAAGGTCTTCGGGTAGCAGTACGTGTCGTACAGCATGCTGGTGAAGAGACCTTTGGAGAAGTCGTCGCGGCTTTGCGCTCTCGTGTCCCACAGCACCTCGAGCGCCTTCACGAGGCGACGGTCGGCCTTCTCTCGGAAGTCCATCCGCTGGAAGAAGACGGCGTCGAAGCCGGCCTCCAGGAAGATGTCGGCCTGGTCGCGAGCGTGTCCGAACGGGTCTATCTGCCAGGCGACCCGAGGCCGTCCGCACTCGCCGAAGGTGGAGTTGAGGAAGCGAACCCCTTCGGTCAGTTGGTCTATCGAGTCGGCGTAGGACACACTCGCCTCGTCCGACATGCACCAACCGCCGAGCACGAATTGCAGTTGCCCGTTGCCGACCAGGCCTCGAACCAGCCGACGCACCGGTTCCGTCTGTTGGCGCCACCAGCGCGTGAAGAAGGCCATCTCGACGTACGTGAACCGCCGCTCCGGATTGGCCGCCAGCGCCTGTACCACACTGTCCAGAATGTACTGGACCCCGGCGCGTTGGATGTAACTCTTCGAGCCGTAGTAGTACTGGTCCACCGTCTTCAGCCAGCCGACGTCGTCGTGTGTGTGTGCGATCAGGTGGACATTCAAGAGGTCGGCCTTTGTCGAGTCACACGACTCATATCCACACCGGGACTCGGACGCCCGACCCTTGCGGAGGCCGGACAGGAGGGGCAACGAAATGAGGAGGAGGAGGAGGAGGAGGAGGGGCAGGGACGGGGTACTCCGTGTGGAAGGTACACTTTTCATTGGGACAAACGGCGTCGTCAAGCTCCGGAAGACGCCGGCCCGTCGGATATGGTGACAGCAAAGCTGTACTTTCGTCCGTCTCGACGAGGTGCTGTCCTGCTCGTGTCGACTGATGCAACCTGGCCGTCGGTTTGATGCATTCTTTGCTTCACCGCTTCATATTGTCGCGCCCGGAGACGAGTTTTTTTTTCAGTCGCCATTTGATTGGCTCCTCGTCGTCAAAGGCATCTGCTCTCGCTCGTGTCGTGGAGACAAGGCGGCACGACGACGCACCGTCATTTGTTGTCAATCCAATCGTCGACATGACCACTTTGCACTCACCCAACCCCGGCATGTCTCGCCTGAGGTATGCATACACATGCTCAAAGGTCGGTCAAGTAGACAAGTGTACCAGACAAGTCGGTTCGGCCCGAGAGGCCACATTAAGTTGCTGTCAACCTCAACTCGAACATGTTCTTCCATTGTTTATACTATCAACTTGAAGGCTGGCGGAAACTTCCATAACCGTTGCACAAAGTTATGTCTCTACGACAATCGGCTAGAATAGTTATTTTTCATTTTTAATTAGAGCTTGCAAACTGCACTACACTTCAGCCTGAATGAGAATAGCTTTTGGAAAAGAAAGGATGTGTGAATTAGCTCTCTTTCTCTCTTTCTCACTGTCTCTCTCTCTCGCCGTCGCCAGCTCGAGAGCGTGGACGATTGAGTTCCGATGCATGTAAAGTCTCATCTGGAGCCGGAATTTGGCATAAGACATTATTGGAGATTCTTCGTTTATAAGTGGGGTTTCGAGACTACCAGTAAATCAGTACTATGACATGTATCCACCTTATTTCGTTTATGGTGTCAAAGGAACTAGTAGTTACATTCTTCCACAATCCTATGAGTAGAGCTGACGTATTCACTGGATTTCGCATAGTCTTGCTTTCTCTAAAAAATGTCTCATTCCAACAGGAAAAGACTGCAGTTTCGAACTCGCTCAGGTCTTATCAACACCCCCAACGGGACTCGAACCATGACAGCACAGCGTATAATCTCAAAACGTTAACCACCATGGCTCGGAGAACAGATTTGAAGGTCATGAAAGGTCGGGCACATTCTCATATCGCACTCATTGTTGGGATTGTTGCTGAATCAAAGTAATTTTTCTATGAAAATCGGCTAAACTACTTATTTTTCATTTATAAGTAGAGTTTACAAACTGCAGTTCACTTTAGGCTGAATGAGAATACGAAGAGAAACTAGGTTTCCTGAGATAACATTGTTAGAGGGACCTTCATTGCGTATGAAAGTGCATGATGAAGAGATTCGTTGGTCGATCTCAACAGATGAGGACGGATGAAACTCGTTGTACTGCAGCCGATTGGATTGTATAGGATATTCATGTTGACGCAGTCCACGGGACTGCCTCGTTTCGAGTGAAAACGTGCTGAGCTTTCGTCCATCAACTGTTGGACATCGTCAGAGCTGGGTGTCATTCTTGTAAAA